CCCTCATCAAGACCCTCTCCTCCAATCCTCGCGGGCTCTTCTCCACCTTCAACTCTCTACTCTCTCCGCCCTCACCTCCACCCAGCACCTCACTCACCACCCTTGAGATTGCCAAACACTTTAAAAAACAAGATTGACACAATTTGCAAGGACATCGCTGCTGCTCAAACTCCCTCCAAACCCGTCCCCTCTCACACAACTACCCCCTCATCACCCCTCTTCTTCGGCCTCACCACTGCTCTGACCTCCACCCCTCCTAACATTCCTAACACTGAAGCCCCCTCAACACTCCACACCTTCGACCTTACTACCATCGAGGAGATCACCAAGGTCTTCTCTGATGCCCGCCTCACCACCTGCCCCCTCTACCCTATCCCCTCACAACTCCTACGACCCCCCACCTCCTCCATCCTACGCTCCCTCACCCACATCTTTAATCTCTCCCTCTCTTCTGGCGCATTCCCCTCCCCTCTGAAGCACACGCACATCACTCCCATATTTAAAAAGCCCCCCCTGGACCCCAATGACCCGAACAACCTCAGACCCATCTCCCTGCTCCCATTCACATCCAAACTCCTCAAGCGCTTAGTCTACAATTGCCTAAGCTCTCACCTCAACGACAACAACCTCCTCGATCCCCTACAGTCCGGCTTCCGTCCCCTACACTCCACCGAAACTGCTTTACTCAAACTATCCAACGACCTGCTAACCGCCAAAGCTAACGGCCACTACTCAGTGTTCCTACTCCTCGACCTCTCCGCGGCCTTCTACACAGTTGACCACCACCTCCTCCTCAAAAAACTACACTCCCTCAGCCTCAGAGATTCTGCTCTCTCCTGGCTCTCGTTCTACCTATCACAACGCTCCTTCAGCGTTATCTATAACGCTACCACCTCCCCCTCACTCCCCCTCTCTGTTGGAGTCCCTCAAGGCTCCGTCCTCGGGCCCCTTCTCTTCTCCATCTACACCTCCTCCCTTGGCCAACTCATACACTCTCACGGGCTCAACTACCACCTCTATGCTGACGACACACAAATCTATCTCTCAACCCCTCGTCTCACCCCCTCAGTCTCCGCCCGAATCACAAACCTACTGAGCGACATATCAGACTGGATATCGCTCCACTTCTTTAAAGTGAACCTCTCCAAAACCGAGCTCCTAGTCTTCCCCCCAGCCCGCATACCACCCCCCACTGACTTCTCCATCACGTCCAACAATGCCACCATCAGGCCCGCCCCGCAGGCCAGAGTACTTGGTGTCATTCTGGACTCCAACCTATCCTTCCAGCCCCAAGTCCAATAACTAACAAACTCATGCAGACTCCACCTCCGCAACATTGCCAAAATCCGCACATTCCTAACCCCAGAAACCACTAAACAGCTCATCCACCCCCTCATCATATCACGACTCGATTACTGTAACTCCCTCCTCATTGGCCTGCCTTGCCGCAGGCTATCCCCTCTTCAGTCGATCCTGAATACGGCTGCCAGACTCATTCACCTTACCAACTGCTCCGTTTCTACCACCCCCCCCTCTGCCAATCCCTCCACTGGCTTCCGATTGCACAACGGATCAAATTCAAAATCCTATCACTGATGTACAAAGCTGTCCACCACATTGCCCGAACTACATCACCGACCTAATATCCAAGTACCACCCAATACGCACACTCCGCTCCTCTCAAGACCTCCTTCTCTCTAGTTCCCTGGTCTCCTCCTCCCATGCACGCCTCCAGGATTTCTCCAGGGCGTCACCCATCCTCTGGAACTCCCTACCCCAATCCATCAGACTATCACCTACTCTCCTCTCCTTTAGGCACACCCTGATCTCTTCAGGGAAGCCTACCCCACCCCCTGCTAATTGCCGACCTCCTCCACTCTTCCTACCACTCCATCCCCCACAGCTATCTCCTCCTGTACCACTATCCCCTCCCTCCTAGATTGTAAGCTCCAAGGAGCAGGGCCCTCGAATCCTCGTGTATCACATTGTATTGTTATTGTACTATCGCATGTACTGTCCCCCATTGTAATGTACAGCGCTGAGCGAACTATTGGCGCTATAAATACTGTATAATAATAATAAGAATATCAGTGGGATAAAATTAGTCCTATCATTGGTGTCAATTGAAATAAAATTAATCCCATCATTGGTGTCAGTGGGATAAATCCCACTGTTGTGTCAGTGGGATTAAAAAAAGTCCTATCATTGGTGTCAGTAAGAATGAAATAAGTCTCACCACTGGTGTCAGTGGAATAAAATAAGTCATAACATAGGTGTCAATGAGGATAACATGAGTTCCATTATTTGTTTCAATGAGAATAAAATAAGTCCCATCATTGGTGTCAATGAGAATAAAATAAGTCTCATCACTGGTGTCAGTGGAACAAAATAAGTCATATCATAGGTGTCAATGAGAATAAAATGAGGTCCATTATTCGTTTCAATGAGAATAAAATAAGTCCCATTATTGGTGTCAGTGAGAATAAAATAAGTCCCATCACTGGTGTCAGTGAGAATAAAATAAGTCCCATCATTGGTGTCAGTGAGAATAAAATAAGTCCCATCATTGGTGTCAGTGAGAATAAAATAAGTCCCATCACTGGTGTCAGTGAGAATAAAATAAGTCCCATCATTGGTGTCAGTGAGAATAAAATAAGTCCCATCATTGGTGTCAGTGAGAATAAAATAAGTCCCATCTCTGGTGTCAGTGGAATAAAATAAGTCCTATCATTGTTGTCAATGAGTATAAAACAAGTCCTAAATGAGAATAAAAAGAATTAGAGAAGAGGGGGGCGTTTCTGGGGCAACTCACAGCACGTTATTGGCTGAGGAAGGAGGCGGAGCAGCTGCTTGAACACAGGTATAGGCTGCACTGCACTGTGAATGCAATGGTGTTTGGAAACCCAGGGAGATGCCCAATGGATGGAGTGCTCAACTAGTTAATCTATTTGTATGCTCTACCTACATCCAAAGTGTGAACCATTGATCACAGCCTGTGCCGGTTTTGTTCAGCCAGTTCCTGGCTTCAAAATTAAAGTGATGCTGTGGCTGTATAACCGCTGATCGCTTTCACAGAGCAGGTTGAGGAATACCACCCCCCATTCATCCCTCAATCTCCCCTGTATTAAAAAAACTGGCTCCTGGGTAACTTTAAATGAATCAGCTGTAAAGGCTTTTAAAGTGTCATCTATGGAGATTTTTGGGTAGCGTAGTTTCTTGAGATGGGGCAAGAAATTTCATGACTTGACATGCTTGGTATCTATTTACTCATTGGAACCTCATCTTTTAAATTTGACCACAAAAATGGGTATTATTGCATCAAATGTGCATTGGATAACCAGTTGCAAAAATACCAGGTGAGATAAGAAATTGCAACTAAAATCTCTTTATTCTACAGGGCCTCTGCTTTCAGAAATCATATAATATTCTGTCGGTGATTAAATCATTTTATGGACAAAAATTAGGATTTTTACATGTGTGCAAAAAATGAAACAATTTTGCTCTAATCCCGAACTAAAGTGGTTGTAAGCCCTCACATACACCCAGTGAAGTGACTGGCCTCAGGTGATACACAGAGATGAAATAAATCCTCCTACTTAATTTGTACCTTTTTATCTACATCTATTAAAAGTGCAGAATTTACACCAGATCTCTCAGCTCTGAAAAGCAGGGGGTGGGGAGCTGAAGTTTCATCAGTGAGGAGAGCTCTGAGAGCTGATTGGAGGGAAGGGAAACACCCTTTTCACACAACACACAGGTAAAAAACCTTCAGTCTCTACAACCGCTTTAAGAGTTCCCTTCACTGGAACTAAGAGGCCAAGCCCAACCCCTGAAAAACAGCCCCACACCATAACCCCCCCTCCACCAAACTTTACACTTGGCACAATGCAGTCACACAAGTACCATTGTCCAGGCAACTGCCAAACCAGACATGTCCATTGGTTTGCCAGACAGAGAAGTGTGATTTGTCACTCCATAGAACACGTCTCTTCTGTTGTAGAGTCCAGTGGCGGCGTGCTTTACACCACGGCATCCGCCGCTTTGCATTGCACTCTGCAGACAGTTTGTTGACTTCTGTGCACTGTGCGCTTCAGCATGCGCTGACCCTGCTCTGTCATGTTATGTGGCCTACCACTTGGTGGCTGAGTTGCTGTTGTTCCCAGTTGCTTCCACTTTGTTATAATCCCACTAACATTTGACTGTGGAATATTTAATAGCCAGGAAATGTCACGGATGGACTTATTGCACAGGTGGCAACCTATCACGGGACCACGCTTGGTGTCACTGAGCTCCTAAGAGCGACCCATTCTTTCACAAATGTTTGTAGAAGCAGTCTGCATGCCTAGGTCATGATTGTATACACCTGTGGCCATGGAGGGGATTGCCTGACTCCAGTGATTTGGAGGGCTGGCCCATTACTTTTGGCAATATAGTGTACATTGGGAGCTTAGTGACATCTCGAATGACATCTCTGTCCAGCCTGTTCCTATAATAATAGATCACTTTTATTGAGAATTGATCTGCTGTTGTTGGCCATATCCAGACCTTAAACAGAACAATAAATAAATACATATGCAATTTTTATTTTACACATTTTTTTTTATCATGTCCCTGTACAATATTTATGCCTTTAAAGTGCACTGTATAAAGAGTTTTGAACAGATAAAATACTTTTTTTAACTTTTACGGATTAATTGGTTTTCAATGCATTTATACATTTTTTTAATCATGTCTCTGTACAGTATTTATGCCTTTAACTAGTTGCCAACCGCAGATAGCCGAATGACGGCTGCACTGCGGCCGGCCAGTTCTGGGTGGACGTCATATGACGTCCCCCCAGAACGCGCTCTCCTGCGCGCCCCAGGGGGCGCGCACCCGGCGATCTCCGTGATCGCTGTGTCCTACGGACACAGCTGATCACGAGATGTGGTAAAAGGCCAATCATACCGGCCTTTTACCACGTGATCAGCGGTGTCCAATGACACGCTGATCACAGGGAAATGCAAGTGCCGGTTCTCGGCTGCACTTTCCTCACGCTGTCAGATCGTGAGGAAAGTACTGCCGAGAACCGGCAGTTGTCAGAGCGGGGATCGGCACCGATCATCAGGGCACTGATGATCAGTGCCCTGATGATCGGTGCCCAGCAGTGCCACCCACAAGTTCCGCCCACCTGTGCCCAGCAGTGCGCCCACTAGCTCCGCCCACCTGTGCCCAGCAGTGCACCCACCTGTGCCACTCTGCAGTGTCACACACCTGTGCCCAGAAGTGCCACCTACCTGTGCCCAGCAGTGCCACCCACCTGTGCCCACCCACCTGTGCCTACCAGTGCCACCCACCTGTGCCCACCAGTACCACCCACCTTTGCCCACCCACCAGTGCTGCCCACCAGTGCCACCCACCAGTGCAGCCCAGCAGTGCTGCCAGTCAGTGCCACCAGTCAGTGCCCAGCGGTTGTGCCAGTCAGTGCCGCCAGTCAGTGCCCAGCAGTGATGCCAGTCAGTGCCGTCTATCAGTACCCATCGTCAGTGTCACCTATCAGTGCCGCCTATCAGTGCTGCATATTAGTGCCGCCTATCCGTGACACCTCATTAGTGCTGTCTATCAGTGCCGCCTATCCGTGCCACCTCATTAGTACTGCCTATCAGTGCCCTTTAGTGCTGCCTATCAGTGCCCATCAGTGCCGCCTATCAGTGCCCATCAGTGCTGCCTCATCAACGCACATCAGTGAAGGAGAAAAATTACCTGTTTGAAAAATTTTATAATAGAAACAAAGAAACTTTTTTTTTTTTTTTTTTTCAAATTTTTTGCACTTTTTTAATTTATAGCGCAAAAAGTAATGCGCCCAGTGGCGATTAAATACCACCAAAAGAAAGCTCTATTTGTGAGAAAAAAATGATCAAAATTTCATATGGGTACAATGTTGCATGACCGCGCAATTGTCAATCAAAGTGCAGCAGCGCTGAAAGCTGAAAATTGGCCTGGTAAGGAAGGGGGTATAAGTGCCTGGTAGGCAAGTGGTTAAAGTGCATTTTATAAAGACTTTTGAACAGATAAGACTTTTTTTTTACTTTTTTCTGACCTCCAGAACAGATTAATTGGTTTTCAATGCATTTACAAATTAATTTTTAATTCATGTCCCTAAACAGTATTTATGCCTTTAAAGTGCACTTTATAAAGAGTTTTGAACAGATAAAATACTTTTTTTTTTTACTTTTTTCTGACCTCCAGAACGGATTAATTGGTTTTCAATGCATTTACACATTTTTTTAATCATGTCCCTGTACAGTATGTATGCCTTTAAAGTGCATTTTATAAAGAGTTTTGAACAGATAAGACTTTTTTTTACTTTTTTTTACCTCCAGAACAGATTAATTGGTTTTCAATGCATTTAGGAATACATTTTTAATTCATGTCCCTAAACAGTATTTATGCCTTTAAAGTGCACTTTAGAAAGAGTTTTGAACAGATAAAAGACTTTTTTTTTACTTTTTTCTGACCTCGGGAACGGATTATTTGGTTTTCAATGCATTTACAAATTAATTTTGAATCATGTCCCTGTACAGTATTTATGCATTTAAAGTGCACTATATAAAGAGTTTAATTGGTTTTCAAGGCATTCCTATGGGAAACCGCGTTTCGGTTTACAAATTTTTCTCAATACGGAAAGTCCCGCAGAACTCATTAAATTCATAAACTGAGGTACGCCTGTATATATATATATATGTGAGGCTAAGATGGCAGCTTCCTTAGCTGTAAAGGATACAAAGGTTTAATTCCACTTTATTTCCCAAAACAGTTGCATTTGAGGCATTCCATGAATGATAACGGTCACAGCTGCTTGTTCTCTCAACGGAATTTTGGGACAATCAAATGTCTGGTGTCATAACTGATCACATGTGCAGCACCATGGCAGTTGCAGATCAAACAGAGGCCAAGATGGCAGCTTCCTTGGCTGTAAAGGTACGGAGGGTTTAGTTCCGCTGTAACCTCTTTGTGTTCAACTGTTCACACAAGTGATAAATCTCCTTCATTTAGATTGTAATCACTCACGAGCGGGGCCCTCCTAACCCTCTTGTATTAAATTATATAGTGAGGCCCTGTTCACACTTTACCTATCTGCAATCGTGGGCAGAATTGTGCGAATCTGCCTGCGATTCCAGATTGTGCTAAAATCATGGCAAAATGCGCAACGCACATTTGGGTGCCAGCAATTCCTAATGGCACCCCAAATGGGATTAGTAGACTTGAGTTTTTTCACGTGGTTTTTCCGAGAAAAAAGCATGTCAAATATTGCACTGAAAAAAATGCGTTACGCTTCACGCCGAAAAAGGTGCAGGAGCTTCTTTGGCATGTTTTGTCATTCAAGTGACTGGGCTGCCATATGTGTGACCCGTGGAAACGCACCAAAATATTAAAAAAACACAATCGGGAACGCGCTTCGCTAATACGGGAAGTGTTAATGTGGGTTACCTATACTTCCTCCCTTTAGTTTGTAAAGTGCTGCGCAAAGTGTTGGCGCTATTATTCCTGTATAATAATAAAAATAATATTTTTGGATCTCATCCCAAGTGGAGTATTGCTAAGAGAGGCCTTGTGAACGGCTAAGCGTCTGTTAGCAACGTCCTGGGAGTTTTCCAGTCAGGCTTCATGAGGTACATAAATGGCCTACACCTATAACAAATCCATTTTTCAGCTTTAGTCAGAGATGTGCAGTTTTGTTTTTATTTACAGACTCCCCTTATCTGCATAGATAGCTTTTGTAAAGGCGGTGAAGCCTTTAACCACTTCCTGTCCGGCCCATGTACATAAACGGCCGGATGGGAGCAGTGAAGGAGCGGGTGGCTGTTTATAAACGGCCTCCGCATTCACTGCCTGTGTGCGCTCTCTGGGAGTGCGCGGCACTGCAATCCGGTGCCCGCTGTACAGGACCTCAGTGTGAGGACCCGATCATGTGATCACTGATTGGCCAATCAGTAATCACAGGAACAGTAGTAAACAAGATGTCACTTCCTGACATCATTGCTTACTACTAGTGATATCTGTGAATGATCACAGAGATCACATGGTACAGGGCTATTCACAACAGCCTTGTACCATGTGGCAAGCTGTGACCAATCACAGCTCTCACAGTATTTCTCAATGGCTGCAGGAATGCAGCCAGAGAGAAAGAGAAATGATTGCTTTTACAACCATTATGGGTGTAAAAGCAATCAGTGTAAAAAAAAAAAATCTTCATCACCCCCCACAAGTAGTACAGTGTCACTATGGTGACACTGTACTGCTAGGGTGACAGTATGTTAAAAAGAAAAAACATAAATAATAATATAAAAAATAAAATAAGTAAAAAATGTTTTTGGAAAAATTATAATTTTTGTTTATAAACTAATTTGGGTTATTTTTTTTTTACTAAGAAGATAGATGAATACATTTTGGTCAAGATTTATGAAGAAAGATTATTTATTTGCTAACTTTTATAAGAAAAACACTTTCTTTTCAAAATGTTTGGACTTTTTAATTTATATAGCAAAAAAAAAAAAAAAATCCCAGTGGTGAATAAATACCACCAAAATAAAGTTTTATCTGTCTCAATTAAAAAACAAAAAAAATCATATGAGTACAGTGTTGCATGACCGCGCAATTGTCGTTCAAAGTGTGATAGCGCTGAAAGCTGAAAATTGCCCTGGACAGGAAGGGGGTGAAAGTGTCCGGTCAGGAAGTGGTTAAGGGCCCTTAGCCAGGTAGCGAATCCCAGCGGCAAGAATCCATTGATTCCATACCCATGCAGTGCAATGACAGGCAGCTGGGGGCCTCAGCTATTGGCGACTGTCTGCAGTCTCAGTTCAGTGAGTCACTGCAGCTTAAGAGCCCTGACTTCACTAGAAGCATGCTTATTCCAGGACAAAACTCAGTAGTAAGGCCTGAGGCAGCCAAGCAAGTAGCATTTTCAGCCTCCTCTATTTCTCCATACAGGCTATTTTATATAAAAAGCTGATATTTATCTTTTTGAGATGAAAAAGTTTATTATAAAAAATAAAGGTGCGAGAACAGTAATGAACACTGGGGCAGTGGCCACATTCTCTGTTTATTGTAAATAATATGAAGAAAAAAAAAAGTTCGAGTACTGGCGGAAGTATGGACTCGCCGGACACACTGCGCACGCGCGGCTTCCCATCAGCTCCAGCGCCGCAGCGCCTCACGTCACGGCCGGCCGTCACGTTCTGCTGTGTGCTTAGGAGGTGGATTCGCTTTTGAAAATGAGCAACCCCACCGTCGTCTGCGGTCAGTCCCCTGACAGCTGTCGCTCCGGTAGACCGCTGTGACCTCCGTTCAGGACCCTAAACGGAGCATTTAGGCAATTGGTGAGTGTGCCGCCGCTTTTTACAACACGCATGCGCAGACTTCCCAGCAGCTCGCTTTACGCATGCGTGGCGTCTGGCTTCGTCCCCCTGTGCAGAAGGAAGGGGCTCTGCGCATGCATCCCACCGCCTCACGGCCCGCGCATGCGTGCTGCCCCTCTGCAGGGTTTCTGGCTTGTAGGATAGTGAGCCTTCCCTGACCCCCCCCCCATCCCTCCTCCATAGGGTGCCACTGTGTGACCTGCCTAGACTGTGAGGCGCCCAGGGGGCAGAAACAGAGGTCCCCGGGGGGAAGGGAAGAGGGCAGCCGAACCCAGAGGCAAGAGGGGCCCCTGGGAGCCTAAGGGGGAGGGGCCACGAACCAGGAACTGACAGCTGATTAAGACTTGGAATGAACACTTCCTGTGGTGGTGTTGTTGGGGTGATCACTGTTCTGTACTCATAGAGCTGAGGTATAGTGTGCCTATGTATGTATGTTCCTATGTATGTATGTATGTGTCTGGACTGTCCCAGTATTGTCATCAGAGGGATCACAACAATCTGTCATCACCTGATCAGTGCTGAGTGATCCCTGATCATGTCTGCACATGTAGGAGATCCATTGTTATCCATTCACAGCCCAGCAACAGATTGATCATCAGGGGAGAAAGTCGCTACAAAGTATCTGACATGCATGCCATGGCTTTATGTGTGACATATTTATTATAACCTGTGTTATTATTGATGAATAGCGCGATCTTGGCGTTCCCTTCGTACAAATCTCAGATTTGTATTGGAAGATGACAGGTGTGATTCTGTAGGAATAAAGCGCCCTGTGTGAGTACTGCTCTGGGATATTCATGCTTTTCAGTAGAACGCAGAATATTGGGGGAGATTTACTAAAACTGAAGCAGCTGTGCATAGCAACCAATCAGCATTTGTCTTTCATTGCATCTAAAGTCAGGAATACTGATGCCCACGTAGCATCTTCTCCCGGGTTCCGTCTTCATCTGCCGGTGCAGGATGACGTCACAACCGCGCGTATGTGGGATTCAATCATCCTGGCACGCTGTGCGGGAAATGTAAACGTACAGCTCCGTGTGCATTCTGGAGAGGGACACAAACAGGCAGGTAGGTGTATTTAATTGCAGAAGAGACGTTGCATGTCTCTT